CACATTAATTACATAATGCTGTTTATAATGTCTTTGCTGTTTGCTGAAAAGGACCAAGCTGGGCAGGCAGTTGATTCTGCTGCAACGAGCATTCGCTCTACCACGGCCACCAGTCCAATGGATAATGGGGCCATCAAGATATTTATTTTTTTTTGTACTAGGAAGGAACAAGGATGTACAGATCGGAGAAGGTGCTCCTTCCAGTATCGCAGTGTGAGATCAGGGTTGCCTTTCAAGCACTTTGGGCTGACTGCAAGCAGAGAGCCAAGGAGAATATAAGTGTCTTTGGTTCTCTGTGGCCCTGTTCTCAAGAGGGGTTTTGGGTCAGGAGTGGGCTGGATCGGGGGCGCAGCAAACGGGCGCGATCCCACCGCAACATCTGGGAAATGTTGCGGGCCCATTCCCGATCCGGCCCTTCCCCCGACAGCCCCGCAGCAAACATGAGCCACCTACCTAGGTGGTTCATCCGGTAGGTCCGCATCACGGCTGGCTGTGGGATCGCCGGCGCGTCTTGCTGCCGGCACATCCCCGGCCCCTGGCCGAACTGCGCATGCTCTCACACGTGCAGTTCGGCAGCCTCCCACTCGTCTCTTCCTCCCCAGCATCTGATCGTGCCGGGGAGCAACAGCGCGCGGCTCACGGATCCGTGGGATCCCGCCTGCAGCGGCTCTATTTTGGTGCGGCTCTAATTAGCCGCACTTTGACCGGTGTTTTCCCTGCCGTGTGGCAGGGACCTGTGTCTAGCATTAAAACCTGTTTGGGCCACTGCATCCTGGACCAACTGAAACTTAGGAACTGACTTCAAGGGCAGCCCCATGTAAAGCCCACAACAGTAGCCCCGCCAGGATTTTGTAAATATTACTGACAACAAGTCAGAAAATAACGACAACAAGTAGAAAAGCAGCCATTTTGTTTCACAAAGCAAGCTTTTCAGCTGCAAAGAGTTCTTTCTTAGAAAGAGTCCCAGAAAATTTCATGACATTCTGTTTTGACGGGCCTTGGATTTCTGTTCCCAGCTGTAGCCTAGGAATGTGATAACAGTTTGCAACATCACACATTTTACGGGATCGCCTGCAGCAGGCAAACAATAGCCTGGGAATAAAAGAACAGCATGTAACGCCATCTATTTTTTATCTTCTTTTTGGTCGGAACGCCTCGCCCGGAGAAGAATTTTGTGCTACTTGAAACTATGTTTGTTTTCTGAAAAATTTAACAAGGACTTGAAGGGTTTTTATTTTTAATGGTTTGCCTCTTGTTGGCATATGCAAACCTCCACGGCTGCTGTCTCGACAAGCTTCCTGATTAGCTCAGGTGATTGAGAAGTTTGGGTTTGATCTGGCAGCTTGGCTCCGTACCTCAGGACACCAAGCCGAACATGGTCCGCCGATCATGTAGCAGGCTTGATACACACCCCTGCCAACATTTCACGGAAGAAAACGGGGCTGTGCTTATAACACCCCAACAGTAAAATCCTAAACAGACAGATTTGAGTCCAGTAGCACCTTAGAGACCAAGAAGAGTTTTAGGGTAGAACAGGGGTGTCGAACTCATTTGTTATGAGGGTCGGATCTGACATAAATGAGACCTTGTTGGGCTGGGCCATGTGTGCCATAAAATGTAATGCCAGTTAGTGGAGATATAAACTTTATAAAGGATACAAACACAAAGGTGTTTTTTTTTACTTAAAATAAAAACATGCTTAAAACATCAGCATCCTTGCAATCTTTTGTTTATTTAACAGTGTCTGAGAACTGACACCTCTTGCTCTGAATTATTGCATCAAAATGTCTGTGCTGTTGCAATCTTGAGTATGCTGTTCAGGTGTGTATCTGTAAGCTGTAAACCTACGATGACGCAGCAGCATCAGAACTGGAAGAAGAAGCAGAAGACAGCCAGTTCCACTGTGGGCCTGATAGAAGCCCTCCGGGGGCCTAATCTGGCTCCTGGGCCACATGTTTGACACCCCTGGGGTAGAAGCTTTCGAGAGTCGGAGCTCCCTTCGTCAGACATGGTCTCTAAGGTGCAGCTACTAGACTTGAATCTTAACTGTTCTACTGCAGCCCAGCGCAGCTACCCTCTGAAACTACTCTAAAAAGAGTTACTATCTTCTTAGACCACTGAGGTACCAAGTTTGATTCTCCACTCGTCCACGTGAAGCCTGCTGGGTGACCTTGGGCCAGTCACCGTTCTCTCAGAACTCTCTCCACCCCACCTGCCTCACAAGGTGCCTGCTGTGGGGAGAGGAAGGGAAGGTGTTTGTAAACTGTTTTGTCATTCCTTAAAGTAGAGAAAAGTGGGGTATAAAAGTGGGCCAACTCTTCTCCTTCTTCTTACTGCTGACGAGCAGGCACCTATTTAGACTTGCATGAGAGACAGCATTGATCCCTAACAGGAGCTCTGCTGGATTAGACCACAGGTCCATCAAGTCCAGCATCTTATTTCCAACAGTGGTGAATCACACAGCTCCCAAGTAGCCACCTCCTCCGTCCCGTCCCGTCCCCTGCAATTGGCCCTTAGGCACACTACCTCTGAACATGGAGGTTTCATTTAGCTGTCTTCCCTCAATGGTTTTGCTCAGTCCCCTTTCAAAGTCACCCATCAATACATCTTGTGAATTTCACATGTTAATTATATGGCCTGCGAAGAAGTACTTCCTTTTTAACGATTCACAGCCTACCAACTTGTCCAGGTGATCCCTAATAAATTTCACTGGTAACCAATGCTCCCTCTAAGCTGTGCAGTCTTGTGAGCAAAATCTCTACTTTGTGAGCTACTGGCATGAAAGTTGTGAGTGAGCGATTTGGCTACTGCATAAATTAGTTTGCTCTGGAGCCATCCTTCCTGGGCTAAGGCAAAAATCTGTGAGCCAGAGGCTAAAAAACTGTGAGCCAGCTCACACTAACTCAGCTTAGAGGGAACACTGCTGGTAACAGCAACCCACAAACCTATGGAGAAAGGCAAGACTATCAATGGCTGTTAGCCATGGTGGCTGAATAGAACCTCCATGTTCAGAGGAAGTGTACCTCTGAACGTTAATGGCTCACACAGAGAAGGATTACTATCGTGCTTCCCAGAGGCATCTGGCTGACCACAACTGGAAACCGGATGCTGGTCAGCTGTAGCAAGGCTTTATTTGCATTCTTAACCTTATCATGTTTCAATGACCTTGGGGGGGGGGGGATCCGCTTTTTTTGGTAGAATTGTGAACCTGGCAGGGGGATTCAAGACGGCCAGGAAGGAAATTAGTATTGATTTGTTCATTATAAGTAGATAACAACTGCTGATGTTTTTTAAAAAAGACCTCTATTAAAACTTTTTTTGATGCTAATAGTAAATCGAGACTAAAATACACATGGGCACACAGGCCCGGCTGCACGGTCCCAGGTATTTCTGCTGGTTATAAGAAAACCACAGATTTCCCGTTCATTATTTTCAAGTTCCACCTGGAAATAAGGCAGCCAGGGATGATCGGAGGCATTCTGTCCCTCTGAAACAGGTATGCCCTTCCCCTCCTGAGCCCGTCTTGCCACCGGCTGGTCGGCTTGGACCTAGGAGAGGATGCCAGGAGAACATGCCAGGAAAGGATGCCCGCTGCCTCCTCTCCTGAGCCCCTGCACTGCCCTGTGGCCCTCCTCAACGGGCAGCTGTAAGGAGCCACTCGGGTGGTTTGATCCAAGAATCAGCCCTGAGGGCAAGCTCTCCTGGCGAACCGGCCCAGCTAAAACCCTGATGAGACCACTTCTGCGCAGTGTGAAGCATAACCAAGATTATTTCATGAATGCTGCAATCCTGTGCACACTTAAAGGTAAAGGTTCCCTTGCTCGAAAGCCAGTCGAATCCGACTCTAGGGTTGCGGTGCTCATCTCCGTTTCAAAGCCGAAGAGCCAGCGCTGTCTGAAGACGTTTCCGTGGTCATGTGGCCGGCATGAGTAAACACCAAGGCGCACGGAACGCTGTTAACTTCCCACCAAAGTGGTACCTATTTATCTACTTGCAATTTCTTGCTTTCGAACTGCTAGGTTGGCAGGAGTGTGCACACTTACAGCGGAGCTAGTTCGACTTGCTGGCATTTATGTTGAGTAAGTAAGCCCTGGCTGGAACAGCTCAGGCTAGCCTGATATCGTGAGATCTTGGCAGCTAAGCAGGGTCGGCTCTGGTTAGTACTTTGGTGGGGGACCCCCCAAGGAAGTCCAGGGTTCCTATGCAGGGGCAGGCCATGGCAAACCCACCTCTGAATATCTCTTGGCGTGAAGGCTCTGTGGGGTCACCACACGTCAGCTATGAACTAAGCTAGCCTTTGTGGACTTTACTGGCAAAACACTACACTAATTATTAAAGCAATTAATATAATATATATTATTTATTAATATATTATTAATTATTATATATTAATATAATCAGATTACTACACTAATTATTAAAGCAATTAATATAATATATATTATTTATTAATATATTATTAAATTATTGTGTATTGATATAATCAGATAACAATGATTATTTGGTATAAGGCTGTCAGCTTCCTGCGGGTCTCTTTTCGACTACGGGAGAAAAAGGCAGCCTGTTCTCATTCCAGACGGGGCTGCGGTGGCTCAAGTTGTTAAGAGGCTGAACTGCAGGCTGTGGAAGGTCAGTAGTTCAGCAGTTCGAGACCCGGGTGCCGCATGACGGAGTGAGCTCCCGTCTCTAGTTCCAGCTCCTGCCAACCTAGCAGTTTGAAAGCAAGGAACTGCAAGTAGATAAATAGGTACCACTTCGGTGGGAAGGTAACAGTGTTCCGTGCACCTCGGTGTTTAGTCATGCTGGCCACATGACCACGGAAATGTCTTTGGACAGTGCTGGCTCTTCGGCTTGGAAACGGAGATGAGCACCGCATCCCTAGAGTCGGATTCGACTGGCTTTCGAGCAAGGGAAACCTTTACCTTTAATTCCAAACCCCAAACACCAGAGATGTCTGGCATTCCCAACAGCTCCAATTCCACAGCCCCCCCTCTTTTTACCTCCCCAGTTTTCCATGCTGAAGAGTTTGCTGAAGTTGTGGGCCACAAAGGGGGAGATCTTTTTCAGGTCGTGGGTGCGGACACGGGTGGCCAGCAGGGACTGATGAGCATCTCGGAAAGTGGTGTCCATCAGGAGCAGCCCCTTGTGTTGGCGAATGGCTTTGGCAAAGCCGGAGGGGCCCTCGCGAAGAAGGATGTCCCGGAAACCAGATGGTGGCCCGCCTGTTACAGAGAGAAAAGGGGCGGGGGGGTGGAGACAAGACAGAGGTGAGTAAAATGATGTGGAAAGTGGACAGAGGCAACTTCTTCCTTCCTTTCCCCAGGATACTAGAACTCACAGGTGCCCAGTATGCATTTGATGGGCAGTAAATTCAGGGCAGACAAAAGGAAGTACATCTATTTCACGAAACATGTTATTAATTTATGGAACTCACGGATACAAGATGTGATGGCAGCCAGTGGTTGAGTCCTTGTGTACACGTGAACAGAATGAGGTGGTAACAAGATGTCTGTGGCGGTTTCGAGGTGTTGTAAATCAATGTTCCCTCTAAGCTGTGGAGTCTTGTGGGCAAAAATTCTACTTTGTGAGCAACTGGCATTAAAGCTGTGAGCGAGCGATTTGGCTGCTGCATAAACTAGTTTGCTCTGCCTTCCTGAGCTAAGACAAAAATGTGTGAGCCAGAGGCTAAAAAACTGTGAGCTAGCTCACACTAACTCAGCTTAGAGGGAACACTGGTTGTAATGCATGTATCATTTTAGACTTGCAGGGAGGGGGAATCTTGATCTTGGAATTCCTCCCCTATGGAGAATTTTCTCTACCGTTAGAAAACGAGCACAAAAGAGAACACCCTGACCCGGATAGCTGAGGCTAGCCCAATCTCACCAGACCTCGGAAGCTAAGCAGGGCTGACCCTGGTCTCATTATTTGGATGGGAGACATTATTTGGGAGGCAGAGGCAGGCAATGGCAAACGACCTCTGAATGTCTCTTGCCTTGAAAATCCCACAGGTTCACGATAAGTCAGCTGTGACTTGATGGCAAAAAAAAGAAAAAAAGAAAGATGGGACAGAACCTTCTCTCCCTAATGAGGTTATTTTTCATCTGTGGGGGAATTCTTATATGGGGAAGAGGCAGGGGTCATTTCCTGCAGGAGCGCAGAGGAGCAGCGCTCCGGCAGTAAAGAGCCCAGGGGGCGGGCACATGCAACAAGCCCCACCCCCTGCTCCCAGCAGCCCTCAGTCAGAGCAAGAAGCAGCCAGGTAAGTTGCAGAGCCCCCCCCCCGGTCCAAAACAGTCCAGTGGCACCTTTAAGACCAAGTTTTATTCAGGTACAAGCTCTCCCTCCTCTGTGAGAACAGATCTGCACGCCCCCCCCCAATAGCTAGCAATCCAAAACAGTCCAGTGGAGCCTGAGCGGTGGGTGTTGCCTTCTGACACACTTCCGGTGATGTCAGGGGGTGTGGCATATGCAAATGAGTTATGTTAATGAGTTATGCTAATGAGCTCCTGCGCCTCTTTTCCTACGAAATGACCCCTGGGAAGAGGGGTTTGAAATATGACATCTGGTGTGAGTCCATTCCTCATCATGTTATATGGAGTAGTCCAGGCTTCCAATGACTTTGAAAAAGGGGTATTAAACGAAGTCATGGAGAAGCTGACTTATCAATGGCAGTTAGCTCTTATGGCTAATTGGAACCTCCGTGTTCAGAGGCAGTGTAATGGGGGACATCACAGTAAGGCTGGCTAGTAGCCCTGTGTTGTGGAGGTGCTCCCTTCAGTACTTCAACTGCTGTCCTGGAGTCCAAATCAGAAAAAGAGAGATAGGGATACGGGGTTCAGTTTAGATTGAAGAAGTTCTGTGGTACTTGCTGGCATCTATTATGCAAAAATGGTGAGGTCTACCCTAGAATTCCGAGTAACTGAGAATTCCACAGAGAAACAACAAGATCTAGCAAATACTCTCCAAACTCTGTTTTCCTGAAAATGAGAGCTTTCGGCAATCGCAAAATGAGGCCTTTGGTTGAACTCTCCTTGTTTGGCTCTCTCTGTTTGTTCGTTACGCGATATCTCCCTCGAGTGCCGAAAAAATCAGAACGAAATTTAGAATGCACGTATCAGAGCGCGTTCCTGTATTGCATACTTGAATACCAGCCTGACCCCCTGAACCTGTTTTTGAGAGGGAGATGGGGAAGAAATGCGAAGTCTACTGTAATGCAGTTACCGTCTCGAGGATCGAGATGTTGGAATGAAAACTCTTGTGCATGCCCGAGGTGTGATTCCCCATTTCGAATGCCAGCTTGGCCCCTGCACCCATTTGCAATCTGGGTCAGGAAAGATGTAAAACGCTCACAGCAATGAGATTGCTTCCTTTAGCACTGTGATATTTGCAATGAAACCTGGTAAGTAAGTTTATAACATGATTCTCCATTTGAACACCAGCTTGACCTCTGTCTGCACTGTGCTGGGAGAGGGGTGTTGGTGGGGAGAGTGGGCAAGAAGGAAAGGTACAAAACACATAGTAAGAAGCTGAAGCCTGCAAGGATTCACAGGGAAGAGGAGGAATAAATTATTTGTATGTCCATATAAACATACCCTTCAAATCTCCCTTCAGAGTTCTCTAACAGGGGCTTGAACAGATTCATTTTCACACACACACCCCCATTTTTCCTTCGGTTCTCACCTGCGTTCAGTCTTCTGTGCCTCCTGGGGCATGCTCATTCCCCTTCAAACCATTCTTTTCTGGTCAGTTTACAAGCTCATATTTTACTCTTTCATTCGGAGTCCCCCAAGTATTTAGGCACCTCCAGTTCATTTATGGGTAACACGATTTTGTCGCTTTTTATGGTTCTAACGGGGGACAGCCACCTTACTACAAGAAATAGTCCAGGTACATTTGTAGCAAGCAATGCTCCCTCTAAGCTGTGGAGTCCTGTGAGCAGAAATTCTACTTTGTGAGCTACTGGCATTAAAGTTGCGAGAGAGCGGTTAAGCTATTGCATTAATTACTTTGCTCTGGAGCCATCCTTTCTGAGCTAAGACAAAAATGTTTTCAAGCGGAGGCTGGACGACCATCTTTCGGGTATGTTGTAGGGCTATCTTTCGGCTATGCTCCTGCAGAGTGCAGGGGGTTGGACTAGATGACCTGCAAGGTACCTTCCAACTCTAACATTCTATGATTCTATGTGTGAGCCGGAGGCTTAGAGGGAACACTGGTAGCAAGGTCTCTCTCAAATGGACATTCACAAGTAGGGTTGCCAGCTCTGGGTTGGGAAATTCCTGGAGATTTTGGGGGTGCAGGCCGCGGAGGGAGGGGCTTGGGGAGGAGAGGGAAGTCGGCAGGACGGAGCACCATACAATCCATCCTCCAAAGCAGCTGATTTCTCCAGCGGAACCGATCTCTGTCCTCTGGAGATCGACTGTAATTCTGGGAAGTCTCCAGCTCCCACCTAAAGGATGGCAACTCTATTTACGACAGTCTCAGGCAAAAACTGTGGGGTAAACCAGCTGTAATTGATGACTGGGTGACAGCTATTTCTGCTCTAACCATCAGGGGCCCGTTACCCAATGAAACCACACCTTCTCGCCCCAAATTATATATCCTTTCCACCAGAACCCACCTTTCTGTTATTTCCCTTCCCGCTCTCCTGCCTCCATGCTGAGTAGGAGCCTCCCTTGAACCCAGGGACAATAGGCACTACAAAGGAAAACCCCACTAAGTGGTCTCAATTAATGCCCAGCTAGCTGGCAGCCAACGGGCCCCAGCGGGGGTTCCACTCATTACCGGTGCCATTCCTTAATCCTTCCCGCTTATAGAAGCGTCGAGGGCTAGCTCTTTTTGATTCTGGCACATCCTTTTAAAAAAAATTATAAAACGGATTTAAGCATCGGCTCGGGGGAAATTTAATAAGATTTAAACATCCTTATTTCATTCTCTTAATGCCTGGCTTAGGTTGGGGATTAGCCGCTGACAAAGAAAATAAACTGCCATAATAATGATACAAGGCTGGAATCCGATATAATTAAACTGAGTCTCACGTATCAATCATAAAGAGCAGGAGGCATGTAAATCAGGCGCCTATTATAGCCACCTGCCCTTGCTCCCCCCCCCACTTTATTACAAGATTTCCAGGCTGGCTCGTTAAGGTCATAAAATATTTAGCAGGCGTTAACGAGGAACAAGCAGATTCTCGCCACCTACCCCCTCCCTGCACCACCTCCGGTGACTCACGCGTATTTTTCAGGAGGGGAGGGGGCGGAGCCAGCATGGGGTCCAAGTGGGAGTGGGCTACATCAGAGATGGAGGAGAAAAATCTGGCTCCCTTTCAGCCCTGGGCAAATAGCCAAAGGCTTCCGTTTCATCCACCAAAATCTAGATTAGTCTTGTTTTAGATTAGGTTGGGGTTGCGTTTTTGGAAAGATTACCCTGAAGAATGGCCAGGCAAACCCAGGACAGGATTAACCGCACGCTGGATCTGGGCTGCAGACCAGGCTGTTAACCTGCTTTTTTTGCCTCTGTATCGCCTTGACCTGGATGGCCCAGGCAAGCCCGATCTTGTCAGATCTCGGGAGCAACACAGGGCCGGCCCTGGCTAGTAGTCGGATGGGAGCCCAGCGAGGAAGTCTCGGGTTCCTTTGCAGAAGAAGGCAATGGCGAATCGTCTGCGTTCACCTCTTGCCTTGAAAACCCCACGGGGTCGCCGTAGGTTGGCTGAAACTTGACTGCTCTTTCCACCACGATTGCTCTATGAAAGTGTAAGACAGAACCTCTGTCCCTGATTTTGTTTGCCCAGGCCAATTTGAGAAAACACACAAAAGCAGTCCTGTAGAGTTGGAAACCAAAAAAATAATAATTTATCAATGAATAAGGAAGAATACAGATTCAAAGGTTTTGGAACCTTGAATACCCAACAGATTCTTCAAGTGTTACAATGAGTGAAATAGCATTTTATACTTCACATTACATCAGAGAAATAAAACAGAATTATTGGTTCCATCAAACATTGTCAAATTTCATCACCTATTTCCCACTGGGTTAAGACCTGGGGGGGTAGTTGTTCCCAGGCAGAGTTCTTCTTTTCCTAACAGAACAATACACTTTTCTTTCAGAAGCTATGAAGTTGCATGTTGTATCTATATAACTGATATGGTTACAGAGTGCTTACTGTTCTTCAGTCTAGCTAGGTTAACTACATTAGAAACATGCGCAGTTGTAGCTGGCCAGA